AGATGGAGAGCACTAGTTCACTTGAAGTGCACAGGAAACATTTACAATTATAGACCATCGCTGTTTCTCAGGCCTGAAATCAGAGTGTGCATTCTGATCACAGTCAACCAAACTCATGATCAACAATGACAGATTGAAACACATGGGTATGACTGGCACCACTGAGAGCTTTATGCATACAGTGGGGCCTTGTCTTATGAGTGTCCCGACTAACGAGTGTTTTGAGATACCAGCTGTCTCTCCGCAGATTTTTTGCTTTGAGTTGACAGAGTAATTTGAGTTAACGAGCTCCTTAACGAGCTCAGTCTCCGAAGGAATTAAACTCGGAAGTCAAGGCCCCACTGTATGTTGATAAACTTGCTTAATTAGACCTGCTTTCTGATTTAGCTCAACTTTTTCCAGCCCAGTGAAGCACCCCAGCTTTTCTTTCAGGATATTGTCAACAACACAGCAGTAAATATCAATACGAAGCAGATTATTATTGAAGATCATACAGGGAGAACAAAGGGTGAAATATTTAACTGTAGCACTGTTTGACTATATTCTGTGTAGTGAGAAAACCTGGAGTCATTTTCAAGTTCTACCATTTCTTATTTCTTTTCAGCTGGGCCAAGTTTCTAAACATTCTAAATCTCCATTTTCCTGCTAATTGATGAAAATAGGATTCTACCGAGTCTCCTATCTACCTACCCCAGGACTTCTGTGAGGAGAAATGAGATGAGGCACGTGAAAACGTTTCACAGACATTTGGTTAAACTGTAAAATGTTTTCACTTGGCTATAAAGCAAATGGGATGAAGAAACTCCAAGGAGGCTAGTCACTAGGGAGAGGAAGCCGGGTGTCCCTATGTGACATCATTACCTGGCGCCCACAGCCATCATTTCTGTGCTGGGCTGGGCTGTGGGCTTTGCGCCATGGGGTCTCGGCAGTGTTGGCTGCTATTTGGTGGGGTGTCGCTTCACGGTGGTGGCAGGGCCTGTGTCCCACTTGGGGGAAGCTGAGTGTTACTTGTGGGTTCCAGGTTTTCTGTATATTGCCAGTTCACGTCAAGGCATTTCCATCATTGAGCATCTCCCCCTGGTGGTCAGTGCGCATCATAGTGACTGGTCAGACGGTTGGACATTAAGCATATTAGCTTTTTATATATATAGATTTGCAATAAGAACAGCAAAAACCATTCTAAAAGAAAATTAGCTATGGCTCATGCCTAAAATTTATCAAATCTGAACCTTTACTGTAGATATCAGCCTTCCAATGAGGAATTCTTCAAATACAGCCTGTGCTGTGGATACTGAGGCATCCTGCCTAGGAGCCTCTCTTCAGGGTTCCTGATCTGCCCCTTCCCCTACTGCGCCCCAGCCCCTGCCCCATTATTTTTTCCAAGCAGACCCAGCATCTCCAAAGCCAAGTGTTCTCATTCAGGAGCTGTTAGAGTGCAAGAATGCAGTTTAAAGGATATTTCACACCCAAAGCACTTTTTAAGTTTCTCAAAGATAAGTGGATGGTCACTGAACATGGATGCAAAATGCATTCTAAACCAAAAATAGTTATTTAAATGTTTTTTTTAGAAGATTTGTTCTCATTATCAAAATAATACAGGATCATTAGTAGAAATTTACAAGAAATATATGAGGTAAAAGAAACCACTTCTCTCCATTATCCAGGGTTAACCACTGTCAACATTTCAAAGTATTTCCGTTTGTCTTAGGAAAATTTATATATCCAAATACCTTTTTGAGGTGATACTATTTATTTATTTAAATATAGTTTCTATTGATTTCAGAGAGGAAGGGAGAGGGAGAGAGAGATAAAACATCAATGATGAGAAAGAATCATTCATTAGCCGCATCCTACACACCTCCTACTGGGGTTGGAGCCCACAATCAGGGTATGTGCCCTGACAGGGACTCTATGCATGACCTCCTGGTTCATACATCAATGCTCAACCACTGAGCATGCCTCCAGGGCAAGATGATACTATTTGTTATGTGTGTATTTTGATTTGTTTTCTTTAGTTATTGTGTATGCATTTCACTGCATCTATAACCACTTTTTCCCCATTTATTAAGGCACTGTTTATTTTTCCCAGCTTTATTGAGAAATAATTGATATACACCACTGTATAAGTTTAAGGCAGACAGCACGATGGTTTGATTTACCTACACTGTGAAATGATTAGCACATTGGGTTCAGCTAACATCCATTGAACATGTGACAAACCAAAATTGAAATCTCTAATGTAATTTGAGGTCTTTTTTCTTCAAAGTCAAACCTACACTTCTTACTATTGCAAAAAAGAGCTGTACTTGGAACTAAAGTGCAGGGTGTGGTGGGTCTGCAGCTGGGGCTCTACTGCCCTGGCCTCTTGCACTTGACCCTTGTGCCTGTTCACATGCAGTTCCGTTCTCCCTCCAGACTTCACATGAGGCTGGTGATGGATGTGCTGCCCCTACTGGACAAGCTCCACAGTCTGTCTTCCCACCACTGAGTGGCAGAGGTGAGAGCCCACACAGTAAGGCTGTGGGGTCTATCAAGTTCAAACCTCACTTGTGTCTAGGAAGCTCTGGGGGTGACCTCAGCATCAGTGTTCGCAGAGCCTATGCTGGCCTCTGATATGTGCTCTGTGAGGGTCCAGCTCACCCATAGCTCCTCTACCCCTGGATCTCAGCCACCTTCCCGGTCCTTCTGCTAGAAGCTCTGGTTCTCTCAGAATCATAGACTCCTCCCCCGCCATGAGCTGTGTGGAAGCTTCATATAACACGATAGTTTTCGGGGAAAACTGGCAAGAGAAAAATAAGAAAAATAAGCAGGAGTCCCCCCAATACTTTGGAGTCCAGGGCCCTGTTTTCCCAGGTCCTCACCAGAGATGGGTTTTTCCTCAGCATTTGAAGGGCTATGCCCAGGCCATGGCTTTAGAGCCAGGCCAGGAAAGAAGAGGGGGAGGATCCAGGGCAGCCCCCACTCTGGCTCCAACAGGCCCCCGGTCCAGTCCTCTGAGTCATTCCCGTCCTGCTCACAGAGCAGGGCTAAGACTCACTGCCTTCAAGACAAATCAGCTCACCACCGTTCTGGTCACTTGTCAAGTTCTCACTTCTCTCCCCACTCAGCCCACTGCTGCTCTCTCTAGAGTCCGCAGTTACTATTCTCTCTGAGACCATGGTTGTCATCATTGGGTGGACAGCTAGCCATTGACCCGCTCCATGTCGGTGGCTCCAGAATGATATCTTCGGTTCTTTTGAGAAGAAGAAAAGGAAGGGAGAAAATGGGTCTGGACAGCAAGTAACCTTTCTGTAGAAATGCATGGACAGTGAGTTTTTTTACTCTTAGTACTTTGAAGTGCTAGCTATGTGGATTGGCATGAGGTACTTTTATTTTATTATTCTCTCTGGATGTTCTTTCTGAAGGTGACTGAGTTGGCTGGCTGCACAGGTACAGGAACAAGAGAGTGAATGTGCTGTCATATGTGCCAAGATGCAAGGAGTTTGTGCTGTTCTGCATTTCTGAGCCTCTCTCACCAAGTGAGTCAGGTCTGGCAAGAGGCAAGGACAGCCATGAGTGGCTCCTCCCAGGCCATCCTGACACCACTCCTCTGTCCAACCTCTACACCATTGGTCTGTGCTCATTGCCAGCTGAATCCACAAGCCAGAGGAGCCCTGGAGCCCTGAGTCACTGTATGGAGAGGATGAGCTTTGGTGGCTCCCTGGCCCACATCATGGACCACAAGGAGCAAGATTTTATTGGGTTCAGACACTGAAAAGTTCTTCATGACAGCCTGCTGGGGTCCAATCCCAGCGGGTCCAGGGGTCCCCAAAGGTGTGGGCGGAGTTGGCGAAGAAGGAAGGACACAGAGGCAGTGTTCAGTTAATCAGCAGCCTAGCCAGGAACTCCAGCGAAGTTCTGGTCAGGATCTCTAGCGAAGTTCTGGTTAGGAACTCCAACCAAGTTCTGGTGCCATGTTCTCTCGGTGGGTTCTGTAGTCAGGTTCTGTTGCAAGGTTCTCTTGCCAGGTTCTATCCAGGTTCTCCTGCCATGTTCTGTCTAGGTTCCCCAGCCAAGTTCTATAGCAAGGTTCTGCGTCCTGGATCTTTTGCCATGTTCTCTGGCTAGGTTCTGGTTAGGATCTGGTTAGGATCTGATGAGGAGCTGATGAGGAGCTGATGAGGAGCTGATGAGGAGCTGTTGTTCTGATGAGGAGCTGATGAGGAGCTGATGAGGAGCTGATGAGGAGCTGATGAAGATCTGATCAGGTTGTGTTGAGGATCTGATGATTATTGTCTTGTTACATCCGTATTTATACCAGCCGATTTTAATCCTGTCAATTTCTATTACAAAGGTTGGGGCGTTTCTTATCTCCATTGCAGGGAGTAAAGATTATGTAGCTTAACTACCCACCTGGCACTTAATTAAGGGGTTGTATCCCCTCCCTAACCTCAGGGAAAGATCCCCACCTGGGGAAACAACCTTTCTCGGAGAGGTGACCTTGGTTAAAACACATGGCGCTAAAGGGAGCAAACATATTAAGAACAGTATGCTATATACGCCAGGTCCATTGAAACATATGCTGTGCAGATGTTTCTTTCCTGCAGCGACTGTGTCAAGCAGCAAGGATGGACCGGCTCCCGGCAACAGCCCACATTATTACCCTAATGATACAGTCTTTGATGGACAATTAGAACCTCCCTGACTGGACCACAGAGTAAGGTGTCAGACCTTTGAGGAGTGACACTCCGTCTCTCATCTTCTTTTAACCCAGTGGTCGGCAAACTGCGGCTCGAGAGCCACATGCGGCTCTTTGGCCCCTTGAGTGTGGCTCTTCCACAAAATACCGACTTCTGCACATGGGCCACGAAGTTTCAATCGCACTGTACGCGCGCGCCTGCACGTGGTATTTTGTGGAAGAGCCATACTCAAGGGGCCAAAGAGCCTCATGTGGCTCGCGAGCTGCAGTTTGCCGACCACTGGGTTAACTCTTAAAAATGGGATGTGTTGATTTCACTCACCAGCATTCCTTCTTCCATCTCGCAGTCAAGTTGACAGGCAAATTGGAGCCATCTCTGGAAGGAGAGAGCATATGAAGACAAGGTATTATTTTTACCTTAATTTTGAGCACCACTCTGCCGAGTACACAGAGAAAAATTATTTATCCTTCCTGACCTTTAACGGAGCATAAGTATCTTTTCTGCAGTTGAGACCTGTAGATGATTAAAAGGCACATGCTTGCAACGACAATGCTCCCTTCCTTCATCCTTGTTCTTGGGTAGCGTCACTCCTGGGCCCTGGGCCCAGGACCCAACCAAGACACCGAGAAGTGGATCTGCTCTGTCGATGGGACCCTGGCCCAGCGTTCCTGGAATGGCACAAAAGGCCCATCCTTGTCACTTGGTGGATGTGGTTTAATGAAGCACAGGGTCACTGTGGGAGGACTGTGCTGCCTCTGTTGTGTTGTGTGAGATGGTTAAAAGGTTTGAAGCTCCTTTAAGAAACCAGGTGGTACAGTGAAGGAGCTGTTCTCCGGATCGATCGCATTAGCAGTGGCTGAGACACAGCAGCTGTCTTAAAGGCTGTGGAAGCTCTGTGACGGGATGAGAACATAGCTGTGGAGGTCACTGGTCTGGATGGTGGCCCTCAATCCCACTGACTACCAGTGCCCGTGGGCAATTCCTTATACTCAGCCCAGACCCCAACTGGACCTGCTTGGACCAGATTCTCTGGGGCAAGACAACCAAATCTGGGCCACCCCTTTTATTTTTTAACCTTTTAAAAATATAATTGTAGATTGACATTATTTGTAAGAGAGAATGCAGAGGTGGCCCATGTAATCTGACCCGGTTTCTCTCAATAATATCTTTTTTTTAAAAAATATATATTTTGTATTGATTTTTCACAGAGAGGAAGGGAGAGAGACAGAGAGCTAGAAACATTGATCAGCTGCCTCCTGCACATCCCCCACTGGGGACGCGCCCGCAACGCAGGCACATGCCCTTGACCAGATTCGACCCTGGGACCCCTCAGTCCGCAGGCCGACGCTCCATCCACTGAGCCAAACCGGTTTTGGCTCTCAATAATATCTTATAAAAATCTCACAACCAGGATTTTGACAGTGACCCAACCACCCATGTAGGGCAGATGGAGAACAGCTCTACGCAATTCTCCCGCACCCAGGACAGTGCCTTCTATTTTTTTTTTTTGGTATATCTTTATCACAGTAAAATATACACAATGAAATTTACCATTTTAACTATTTTTCAGGGCGCAGTCCAGTGGTGTTAAGTACATTCATATTGTTGTGCTGCCATCACCACCATCATCTCCATCACTGTTCTCATCTTCTCCAACTGAAGCTCTGTCCCCACTAAACAACAACTCTGCATCCACTCCCCCATCCCTGGTCCCCTCCCTCTTACCTCTGTCTCTATGACTCTGATGGCTCTAGGGACCTCAGGTGAGTGGAATCACACAATATTTGTCCTTTTGTGACTGGCTTGCTTCACTGAGCATCACGTCTGCAGGGTCCATCCAGGTTGTAGCATGTGTCACAATGGCCTATTTTTCTAAATTGAATTTATTGGGGTGAGATTGGTAATGAAATCATGTAGCTTTCAGGTATACAGTTCTATAAGACATCATCTGTATGTTGATTTCTGTGTCTCACCACCCTCCCCCCTGCCCCCAGGTCAGGTCTCCTTCCATCACAATTTATCCTTTCTAAACCCTCTTCTCCCCACACCCCTTTCTCCCTGATAATCACCAAACTGCTGTCTGTGTCTATGAGTTTTTTTCTTTGCTTAATCCCTTCACCTTTTTCACCTAGTCCCCCAACCTCCCTCCCCTCTGACAGCTGTCAGTCAGTTTTCTATATCTATGAGCCTGTTTCTATTTTGATTGTAGTTTCTTTTGTTCACTAGATTCCACATATAAGTGAAACCATAAGGAACTTGTATTTCTCTGACTGGCTTACTTCACTTCACTTAGCATAATACTCACCAGCTCCATCCATGCTGTTGCAAAAGTTAAGATTTCCTTCGTTTCCTTTGTGTGTGTGTGTGGGTGAGTAGTATTCTGTTCTGTTAATGTACCACTGCTTTTTCTCCACTTATCTGCTGCTGGGCACTTGGGCTGCTGTGAAATCTTTGCTAATGTAAATAATGCTGCACTATATCCTTTCAGATCAGTGTTTCAGGTTTCTGCAGTTATATTCTCAGAAGTGGAAATGCTAGGTCATAAAGCAGTTCTATTTTTAATTTTTGAGGTAACTTCATACTGCTTTCCATAATGGTTGCACCAATCTGCATTCCCACCAAGAGTACAGGAGAGTTCCCTTTTCTCCACATATTCACCAGCACTTGATGTTTATTGATTTATTGATGATAGCCATTCTGACAGATGTGAGGTGATACCTCACTGTGATTTTAATTTCTATTTCTGTAATGATTAGTGATGCTCTGCATCTTTTTATTTGTGTAATACTCATCTGCAGGTCCTCATTGGAGAAGTGTCTGTTTAGGTTCTTTGCTCATTTTTAAATTGGATTGATTTTTTTATGATGTTGAGTTTTATAACTTCTTCACAAATTTTGTATATTAAGCCCTTATCAGATGTATCCTTGGCAAATATGTTCTCCCATTCAATGGGTTGTCTTTTCATTTTGTTGATGGTTTCCTTTTCTGTGCAATCACTTTTTAGTTTGATGTAGTCCCATTTGTTTAGTTTTTCTTTTGCTTCCCTTACCCAAATAGAGATATCAGAATAAAAAATATTGCTATGAAAATTTATTGCCTTTATTTTCTTCTAGAATTTTTATGGTTTCAAATCTTACTTTCAATTCTTTAATCCATTCTGAGTTTATTCTTCAATATGGTGTAAGAAGGTAGTCTGCATTCATTTATTTTTCTACATACTTGTCCAATTTTCCCAATAGCATTTATTGAGTGGACTGTCTTTACCACATTGTATGTTCTGTGTCCTTTGTCAAATATTAATTTACCATAAATGTATGGGTTTATTTCTGGGCTTTTTATTCTGTTCCAATGATCTATATGTCTGTTTTATGCCAGTACCATGCTATATTTATTACTATGGTCTTTTAGTATAGTTTGTTATCAGGTAGCATGATTCCTCCAACTTAGCTGTTCTTTCTCAAGATCACTGTGGCTATTGGCTTGGTTTTATTTTCTTTGTTTTGTTTTGTTTTTGTGTGTGTGTGTGTATGTGTGTGTGTGTGTTGGGGTTTTTTTTGTACTTCCATATAAATTTTTGTGGTATTTGTTGTAGCTCTCTGAAATACATCATTGGACATTTTAATGTTGGTAATTCTTCCTATCTTTGAACACCATATATGCTTTTACTTATTTGTATCTTCTGCAACTTTTTCCTTCCTTCATTTCTTTCATTTTCTTCTTTCTTTCTTTCCTTCTTTCTATCTAAGTGATGTATATTATGTTGAGGTGTATTCCCTCTATTCACACTTTGCTGAAAGTTGTTATAATGAAAAGGTGTTTTGTTGAATGCTCTTTCTGCATCTATTGTTATAACCATGTGATTTTTATTCCTTATTTTGTTTATGCTGTATCATGTTTTTTATGTGCAGATCCTGTACCAAGCTTGCATCCCCGGAATAAATCCCACTTCATCATGTTGTGTAATCTTTTTAATGTATTACTGAATCCAGTTTGCCAATATTTTGTTGAGGATTTTAGCATCTATGTTCATCAGGGATATTGGCCTATAATTTTCTTTCTTTGTAAATTCTTATTCTGGTTTGGGGATTAGGATAATGCTGGACTCATAAAATGAGCTTGGATATCTTCCCTTGTCTTGAGTGTTTTGGATGAGTTTGAGGAGAACAGGTATTAGTTCTTCTCTGAATGTTTGATGAAATACACTGTGAAGCCATCCAGTCCAGCATGTGCGTTTGTTGAGAAGTTGTTTTTTCTTTTAATCCTCACCAAGGATATATTTTCCAATGAATTTTTTTTTTAGAGAAGAGGGAAGGAGGGAGGGAGGGAGGGGAAAGAGAGAGAGAGAGAGAGAGAGAGAGAGAGAGAGACATCAATGTGAGACACACACATCAAATGGTTGTCTCTCTCACACACACACACCTCAACAGGGGGCACGGGTGAACCTGCAACCCAGGTACGTGCCTTTGACTGGGAATCGAACCCATGATCCTTTGGTGCGTGGACCATAGCTCTAACCACTGACACACAATGGCCCGTGCTTCATTGATCACTTGTTTGTTTTTTACTGTTTTGTTTATTTCTGCTCTGATCTTTATTATTTCTTTATTATTCTCACTTTGTGGTGTCTTTTTTGTTGTTGTTGTTTTTTTTTTTTTGCACTAGTTCCTCTAAGTGTAAAGTTAGATGATGTATTTCAGATTTTTCTTGTTTCTTGAGGTAGGCCTGTAATGTTATGAATTTCCCTCTTAGGACTGCTTATGCTGTGTTCCATAGAGTTAGGATTGTTGTGCTCTCATTTCCATGTGTTTCAAGGTATCATTTGATTTTGTCTATGATCTCATTGTTAACCATTCATTGTTTAGTAACATGTTAATTAGCCTCCAAGACTTTCTATGTTTTGCAGATTTATCTTTTTCTTTTTCTGTTTTTTTTTCAATCCTATATTATTCATTTTTAGTGTGGTCAAATAAATATAAGATTTAGAGTTTTAACCACAGTTAAGTATACATTACGTATATTGACATGCAATTCTCGCCACTGTGTATCTCCAGATTTTTATTTTATTTTTTGCTTTTCATTGCTTTTATTTCTCTTAATAAATTTATTGGGGCAGGGTGGTTTTAGGTGTGTACAATTAAGTAATAGATCACCTGTATATCAGTTTTTTTCTCAGTGACTTCCAGTTGTATACAGTTATGGTCAGATAAGATTCCTGATATGATTTCATTCTTCTTAAATTTACTGAGACTGGTTTTTGTGTCTTAACATGTGGTGTATCCTAGAACATGTTGTACGTCCACTTAAAAAGAATGTATATTCTACTGCTTCTGGGTGAAATG